TTGTTTTCCTCCATTTTTTTGTAGATACAAGAACATCTTTAAATTCATCGACCTGATTGAGTCGCCTGGTATAGCTCATGTTATCAATACAGCCTCCTATACTGAAATAGGTAGTCACACATTGCTTGCTGCCATTTTGGGAGTGTGGCCTATTGCGTCAGTTACCATGGTAACCGTCTGTCTGGCTGGTGTGGTTATATGGATGTTGGTGAGTTTTGATTGCTTTGTTATTCAAGTTACACTGAATTGCAGTTTTTAAATTTTCACTGCTTGAAAGAGGATACTACATCTCAACCCACACGGATGAAGATTACGATGAAGTTTTCTATGTCGAGATTGCACACAGCGGGTTGTTCGTGTCTCTTTTCATCTTTTTGTCACTGTAGAATAATTATGAGCAGAAAGAGCTTTGGAAACGCAGGTTTATTGCTTTTGTGTGGACATACAAAAAATGGAGATTTTCGAATACGATGATGCCATACATCGTGCAGCGCAGGCCCTGTGTAATAAGGACATGTGTGTATCGTCTTTCCATTGTTTAAGCGTTTTCGTCTGGGAAGGCGCAAACTACTTGAATACGCTAATAGTGCACGTTTTTTTTTTTTCCGAAAAAAATCTTCGTCTTGAAAAATTTTCGGATACGTGACGTGTGGACAAGGCCTGAGAATATTTTGTTAAATGACTTGTAGGAAAGAAAAGAAAATGCCGAACAGTTCAAGTCATCCTTCATACGGGGTACTGGAGAAGGCATGTGGTGGTCGTATATCTCAGCTACGACAGTTGGGTATGTATTCAGTCACTCAGAGTAAATCTACTGTCAGATTGCAGGGCCGATATGTAGTGAGAAGGTGTCAAAGGCTGACTCGACTCTAGTCGTCTCTTTTGTCTCCTAATTAAAAATTGACGAGGGATACGCGTGGAAACATTTTACTGGAGTATCCCAACTGAAAGCGCAATAGCTAATTAAAGGCTAATCAACACGAAAGCAAGCGTTTTGAGGCCTGCAAAAATCCACTCGAACCTTGAAAATTTTCTATAGATAGCGAATGTCTGTGTGGGCAGTCAAGCTATTGATTTTTTCCTTTATCATTTCAGTTATGGAGATAGAGCTCCGGTAACGTATTCTGGCCGATTGTTTTCTGTGTTCTGGATCCTTATGGGACTGGTTGTTATAGGAATACTGAATGGATCAATTACTACAGCATTAACTGTTTTCATTGTCAACTTGGACGTCTCTGCATTTGGCAACAAGGTAAGTGCTTCCTTGTTCCACAAACGCTCCTGTTTTCTTGCTACTTCAATTTGTGGTCTTTGAAATTTTTCCTTTTGGCCTTGGCTAAATCTACATATTACGTCTTACTTTTAAGGTTGCTGCCGTACAGCATACTCCAGAGTATCAATTTGGATGGCGAAAGAACTTTAAAATGGATAATGGTAATTTTTAATATGTGGTGTATAGATTTTGTAGATAGCCTGATAAATCAACAGAAAAAACGACTATAATAAGAGTTATTATAAATACTCCATCTTTTGTTGTTCTGTTATTCTTCGATTGGACAAGGCATTGCATGACCGCTACCAACTTATTTGTAGGCATAAACACCCTTCTTGCTTTGTATTGTACTAGTAAATGAAGTAGATTTTAATTCTCAATATTTTCTTAATATTCCGAATGATTACTTTCAGCTTCGTACGCCTCGTTCCGGGACGTTTTCTCAGCTTTGGAGAGTGGAAAAGTGAAGCATGCGCTATTCGACACGTACGCAATTGGCAGTGAGAAAGCTCTATTTGAAGGCGCCGATCACTTAGAAATACATGAGATATTTGACTACTCATCCACTTATGGAATAGTCTTGGGCGCTGAATCTGGTGTATTGCAGAAATGTTTCAATATGTTTAAGAAGAAGAACATAAGGGATATCTTCGAAAAGATTGAAGGGAACATAGATTCTATCAAGGTAATTAGTAGAAAAAAATGTTCCTTTTCTTCAAATTCTCCCTCAAGTTGAGCGGGATGTTGGCGTGCCTATAATTATAACTATAATGATGGTGGTGATGATGATGATGATGAGAATGATGATGATTAACAGCAGCTACGTCTACTAATTAGTATCCACTCTGATGCTAACTTGTTTACTTTTTTCTTCAGCCTGGTAAAGATTTGGCCATTGAAGTATCGACGGGTCTGTTCGACATATCGAGCCCGCTATTCAAAACCACATTACTGTATTGTAGTTATGCCCTTGCCACTGCAGTAAGTGCTGGTGTAATTTGGGAAATATGGCACTGTTGTAAAGGCAGCAGCAGAGTTAAGAGCGAAGGTAACTCTTTTTTCTTGATTCAGCGAGCGTAAGACTTTCTTCATACAATACCTGATAGATTTTCCTGGCGCCACGAAAAGTTCTCCGTCATAGTTTGAAACGCAACGGCCCGGGACGGCAGAAGTCGGTGTCGGAGTGTCGGAGACGTGTTGGACTGTTGGTAGTGCACTCAACTTTGTCATAAGTGGGGTGGGAAGGGGGTATTGTCATAAGTGGGCTGGAGAGGGGGTATCTATGCTTCAAGGTTAGTATCAAAAAAAGTCGTTTTTACAAAATTGTTCCAATATTCCATCTCAGAGTTGCTCCAAGCCTCTGTTTCAAAGCGAGGCTAAGTGCCGAGCTATTGATTTTTTAAAAAAAGATTCTTCACTCTCATGCAAATAAATTTCATCTTCACAAGAAAGGTTTTGAAGTCGGCCTCGTTTTGAACGTGAGAGTATTTGTAACTCCGAAGTGACCTATTATAAAGTGTTTGATAATCGTCTTTTTATTCGTTGTGGTTTCAGATTCAAATGATGCGGAGGACAATTTAATACTCTTGAAAGAGATGCGAATTATGACTGAGGATTTCTTCCTGCGCATCCGCCAAGTAGCTGCCGGCTTGAAAGCGAGGCATGTCAGCGAACTTGTGCGTTTGAGAAAATTAAGGGGTGAAGCAGATTCATGGGAAGACGATAGAGGGAAGGACTGTAAAACACATCAGGCTCTTTCTGCGGATGTTCAAGAGTTTCTTCGTTCCAGAGTTGGTCCCTCTAACATTTATACGGTGGGACGTTCACATATTGATAACTTAGGCTCAGCAGACTAAATCGTTGATGTCGAATACTCGACCGCGGTAGTTCGAAAGCTATTGCTTGCGTATAACTCAGAAAAAGATACAGAACAAAACTAAAAAAATCTTAGCAAGTTAAGTTGTNGAAGCAGATTCATGGGAAGACGATAGAGGGAAGGACTGTAAAACACATCAGGCTCTTTCTGCGGATGTTCAAGAGTTTCTTCGTTCCAGAGTTGGTCCCTCTAACATTTATACGGTGGGACGTTCACATATTGATAACTTAGGCTCAGCAGACTAAATCGTTGATGTCGAATACTCGACCGCGGTAGTTCGAAAGCTATTGCTTGCGTATAACTCAGAAAAAGATACAGAACAAAACTAAAAAAATCTTAGCAAGTTAAGTTGTAAGTGTCCAATAAATTGGATAATAATAGACGTGATAAGTATGTGAAAAACTACTTCGCCCGGTATGTAAGGTAATCCAAGACAGACTGTACATTCTGGATTTCTTGACAGTGGAACTCCAACCGAGTTACGGATTCCAAAGCTCGTGATTTCCGTTTCCACAGCAAAAATTTTCCCGATTTCAGATTTTACAAGCAAAATTTTTTCCGGATTCCGGAAACAGCATTACCTTCCATGAAAACTGGAGGAACAGAAATTGCATAGATAAAGTTCACGACAGTATTGTTTATTGTGGGCGACAAGAGGAGCCCGAAATACTAATCTTCAGGTTGTTATTACGCATGCGTTGCATGTATGTAGCCAGCATTCTTTTGGACTTCAACTTAGAATGAATGGAGTGCACATAACGCTATTTGGACCTTCGATCACGCGTGTTTTGACCATCTGTCACGTGAAAAGCGGTGGAGCAAAAGCGTTTTAATCTTCGATCGTTGTCGCCCACACTCCGTAACCTTTGGTTATTACTAGTTGTAATTTATTGTTTCATTATGATGATTATGAATGATATTGATTGTGGTAATGATTTTGATGGTAATTACTTAGAAGGTTATTAGTTTACTCGGGTAGCCCCTCTTCACACAGAGATTTGCAAGGTGTTGCGAGACACGCATTTCCAGTATTTTCTTAACGAGCGTTTCACGCATGGTTTTAGTGACACATGCTTAATTACTTACGTAATTAATCCTCCTTTAGATACGAAAAAGTAGACCCTGCTGGCTGGTAAAAATAGCTCACACAGTTTTTGCACTTATTTGCAATGTGCACATCTTTGTAATACTGTGGGTGAAAAAAATATCATTAATTTATGTAAAAACGTCCTTGAATAGAAATTCCGTATCGTTCTATATTTTACTTATTCCTTTAAATGGTTGGTTATGTATTTACCATAATATGTATTGAATGATATCCTTTTTTTCTTTCCGCCGTGAATTATCCTTTTATACGCAGAACCGTTTTTTCGAAAACTCTTGTTATATGTGGGCAGTTAGTGATCCTAAATTCTTTCTAACTATCTATTTCCTCCCTCCTCTATGCAATATGATAACTAAACGTTTTGTATAAGCAGTGCTTAAACGTATGTTATGATTTTCAAATTCATTTCTTAAACCAACGACTACGTGAACAAGGATTTGTTGAATTAAGATTTAATAAAGCTTTTTTAACTTTGGTATACATGTATAAGTGCACATTGAATAAGCAGACTGTAAGAAACGCTTGTCTCATGTTTACTTATTTTTCTTCGTTATCCAAGCACAAATAAGCTGTGGTATTTATGTGTACTAAACAATTTCGTTTGGGGAGGATCATAATTAAAGCTAGCCGATTGTTATGTGATGTAAAATTGAGCTGCTGTTGTAAATTAAGACTCTGTAATTGTCGTCTCTACGCTGGACATAAAATAAACATGAATTATGGCACCTGCCATATAAATTTGAATCAGCTTATGTTGTTCTGTCTCGTTTGAACTCGATGTTACTAGTTCTTTAATCTTTCCGCCTTTGGCTTCCTTTAGGACCTTTGGAAGAGGATCAAGGTAAGAAAACATGCACATATTTTCCCTTCTCCAAAAAAAAGAAAGTGTTTCACTGTCTGTTAGACCAGAACCTTCCAGCTATTTTACCTTTTCTTGATAAATACGTGGACAATTTCAAAGTAAGATAATTCTTCAGTCTTCATTTACTAGTTTAAGTTGCGGCTGTCTATTCGGTGGCCACATTTCCGAAGGCATCATGAAAAATCCTTAAAAAAAAACGCATATATAACTATAAGAGCTGAAATAAACCTTTCATAGTTTTAAGAGCTGGAATTATTGAAAATAATACATTTCATAATTAGTTTCATGCACACAAATTGAAACTTGTGGCAGATTCGAAAATATCAGTTCATCTATGAGGATTGTGGAAACATTTTGTTTACAATCAAGAGCCTTGTAGAGAGGATCTTGATACAATTGAAAAGAAATGATTTTAAGAAGGGGACCAGTTAATTTGAAGTCGATAACCAAAGAGCATTAAAGCACAAATTAACCCGGTAAAATTAATATACAGTATACGTACTTATAAACGCCCTGTCCGCTCAGATTAGTTACAACTGTCAGTATAATGATGCATCTACAATTACGTGCGAGAAAAAAAAAACATAAAAATTACAACGAACTCGCACCCGTGTTTTATTTTCTCACTGTTCCAAAACGATTTGTTATCATTAATTTTTTTTCCGCGAATAATCCATACCTATAGAAATAATCAAGATCTAGATGATACTTAACACTGCTCAAGTTGTGTAACAACGTGTTATTGAGTCGACGAAAACTGGGAAAGTTTTGAAAAACACCTTGAGTTTCGTTCTACATTCCTTGAAATTTCTCTACTATCTCACATCTAGATTAAGGGAAGATTATTTTTAACAGATTCTTCTCCGATCCTAATAACGAGAATGTTAAGTATTTGTCAAACAGAATTAATCTCCCTTCATTTTTTCTTGGGAGCGAAACGCGCAATCGTACGCAAATCACCCTTTTGCGAGGCCTGCAGTTGAAGAATTCCTCAGTATTATGATACGATTACAGTAGCGCCTAATTTCCCGTGACTGATCACGTTCTTGTGCATCAGCTTATTTCTTATTTACGTTTTCAGAAAACATTTTAGAGTAATGGAAGATTCTGACGTCACCTCCTTCCTGTCGTCTGTTTCCAAGACAGAAGTTGATAAGATTCTTAGGCGGATCCAGGCCCACCCTAATGTAGTGGCTTTGATGTTGACAAATCGTGAGGGACAAGCACTCAGAACAAATATGGACATCACGACCACTAAAAACTACGCGTTGCTGTATGGGAACCTCATAGAAATGGCCCATTCCGCGGTGCGAGAATTAGACCCGCAAAATAAGCTCCAGTTTATAAGGGTCCGGAATAAACAACACGAAATTATTGTGGCCCCTACTGGAGAACTTACTCTTATTGTGGTTCAACAGGTTGTAATAGCAGTGTAATTGTGGATGTAATTAATCTCCTTGCCATACGTATTTTTTCTGGCACTAAATGTAAATTTAACATACTTTAATGGTTTGTGATCTGTAATAGATTTAAACTCTGTAAGCCGAAAAAGAGAGTGTCGGCATTTGATTATCCACCTAGCTGGGGGAAAAAACCAGCCAGCTATATATTAGAAGAACAAAAGCTTGTTTTCTCACAGATTAGCACATACTCTCTCGGGCCGGGAGTAGTCCACACTGATGTGACACCAAGTAAAAAATCGTATATGCAACAAGAAACCCGAATGGGTTGACTCGCACTCCGCACCAGTAGCGGTTCCCGCGCCTTACACACAAGGTAGCCTCGCACTCAGAAGTTCATTGGGCTTTGTCACGCGTCACGCGTTCCTTCCCCACATTTTGTGACAACTTGTCAGCCTGAGCTTTCTAAGTCTTCCGTCAAAAAATGAGAATCTGGAGAATAGAGCATTGGCAGTACATTGTCAAGTTTATGGCAAATTACTCTGATTTTATTAAAGTTCCTCTTTTAACTTCTGCTATATATTTTCGTTATTTCTTTCTGAAATCAGAGTCGTTCATGATTGCAAATGACTGGCGCAGAGGACCACTTCTTTTGTCTCTTTATATGACTATTATATTTTTTTAAAAGTGTTTTGGTACTTCCTAAAAAACAAATAAAAGGACTTTCAAATTTTATGCTCTAAAGTCACAGGTTTGTTCACGTGATCAATTTTTATTTCGTTACCAGTCTTCTTCCTCCGTCTAATTTTAGCGGGAGCCGTCGCGGGATCAGGTGTTTACAAACGTCGCTTCTCCGATCTCCATGCTTGTTTTTACCAAGGGTTTCTGTCTTAATGCCTCCTTAGTTTGTTCCGATGGCTAGGAGAAATGATGGAGATGTAGAAGACAAAGGCAGAAGGCTTTGGGACGCGTTAAAAAACAAAAAAATCGGTCGCGTCGAACGAAAATCAATAATCCGAGAACTGCTACAAAATGGTGCGCCGGCAAATTTCAGGGAACCCGATAGACAGGTAAGAAAACTTTATAAATAAGGTTCCTGTAGTTATTTTTTTGCCGCGGCATTACACCTCACTCTTACCTACGAAAACTGAAAGAAATACGAGAATGCAAGAAAATCTTATCCAGCGCACAGACAGAGTCCAACTCTATCGTTCCATCGCATGACTTAAAGTTCTTTCGCTGTTCATTCATGACAGTGGTAAACTTTAATTAATTTTCCGTGGATGTTATGCGCGATTGAATTGTATTGTATCGAAAATGTCTATTATTTTGAATCAAAATCTTAAGCGTAATACTTTCGTAAATGAAGAAAATACAGATAAGACTGATTGTATTTGGTAATTCAACATTCCCTTCGCTGCAATGTAGTGCTCGATTCGGCTTAGCTTTTAGTCGTCCACTGCATAGTCAGTGAGTTGCCTACAGAAATCTGGGTTTATAAGTTCAATTTCTTTTTGCTAGCTCAAGTATGAAGTATTTAATGATTCTCGGTTTATAATTTCAATTTCTTTTTCCTTACTCTGGAATGAGATAGTAACGTAATTAGAATCAATCCGTGTGGTTTAGTCTGTTTACTTACAACTGAAAGAGGGATTTGTCCTTTCGGTTTTACGGGACACCCTATTGTTTGTTTCGCTTTCCATTTGAGATATTTCGATTTCTTTTGGAATAAGGCTGAGTTTTAACTTCAGATTTACCAGTATTTATGTTAATATTCAGTCAGAACTACATGTAATACACTGAGGTAATTGACAAAACTTACGTATATGTTCAAAGGTGTCTCGTGCGCGTGACAGACGCTGGTTGACAAAAGGCAAATAAATGTTTAGGAAGTTATCCTTCCGTGGTAGCTGATCAAAGTCCAGTCATTTCAATTTGCTGCATGCTCTCGCCTGTTGTTGTAACTATGGAGTGGGGAAATATTGAAATTTGTGGGTGGATGTGTGCCATCCCGAGCCTTAAAATAACCAGACTGAAATATATTGATCACTGGCTCAAAGATAGTGAGTTAAGTCAAGTCTCAATGTTGCCAAAACAAAGTTTATGGTTATTAGCTCGAGGCAGAAACTACAGTCCTTAAATGACTACACAATGAATATTCATATAGACGACATCCCAATAAACCAAAGCAATCAAAGCAAATCCCTCTGGCTTATCATTGATGAAAATCTCTTGTGGAAGGCCCACATTCATGAAATCTCTAATAAAGTGTCCTCTGGTATCAGTGCTCTTAAGCGGGTCAGGCCATTTGTTTCAATGCACACTGCAATTAAAATATACAAAGGTCTTATTGAGCCACACTTCAATTATTGCAGCTCTGTATGGGATGGCTTGACCCAACAGCTTAGTGAGAAACTTCAAAAACTTAAAAATCGTGCTATCAGAGTTATCACCAAATCTAGCTATGATACGAGTTCCAGATATCTTGTTAACTCGCTTGGTTGGGACAATTTATTAGTTAGAAGGGCTAAACAAAAGGCCAATTTAATGTACAAGTGCATTAATAATCTCGTCCCAGCTTATCTCTGTAATTTGTTTGCACCAAGATCACCAAATTACTATTTTCGCAACATGAAGAAAAAATTAATGCTCCCAAAACCAAGAACTGATTACCTGAAGCATAGCTTTAGTTATAGTGGCACTCTTTCATGGAACAATCTTCCTGAGGAAAAACATACATCAAATTCCTTAGGTCTCTCTAAGAGAAGTTCCCATAGATGGTTTTCTGATCAGTACTCCCACACGGCAAATATGTAAAACAGTTTTTTGAGAATTTTTAGTTAATTTCCTATGTTAGACTGATGTTTTCAACCATGTATAAATAAAGTTATCATTCATTCAGACTTCATTCCAGATATTCCCTACCCTACCCTGGAGGTCCTGTTAACGAGAAACTGTTTCTATGCCCTTTTTTTTCTTAGATCAAAACCAAATTCCAGCACATACCCATTTTGGCTATGTATGACTCCCAACCCTCTGTCCCTTGAATGGCATGGAATGGGCAGGCTGATATAAATACATGCCTGATCCTCATCCAATGTTGCATTCTTAAAATCTCTGTACAAAACTTTTATTTTATTTAATTTTATCTATTAGCTTTGTCAGATATGGCAGGGACACCACAACTGGGTGTACCAATATATTACTGTGGGCCCAAAACATTCTCTTCCCCCCAATGAGAAGATCTTATTTAAGTACATTTTGGGCATTTTTTAAAATTTTATTTTGAAAGACACCGAGAATTAAAGTAAAGTGTCTGATGGTTATGTTATCAGTTTTATTGAGTGCAACATGTCGCAGAATAACCACAGGCAAATAGGAAAAATAAGTTAAAGGTTCATGACAACTAAACTATAATTCCCCAGGGATGTAGCTAAGGAAAAGCTAAGCAGGCTTTTTTATTAGTCAAGCCAGCTTTTTTACTCAACTGCACCTTCAAAATTACCCTATGTCTTTCAAAGCCTCCCATCCCCACCCCCCTAATTTTAACCCCCCAGCTGCCAGTCACCCACCCTCTGTTAGGGCTATGTGGTGATCTCTAGCCTGTCTGCTGGTACCTGCCCTCATGTTCAGCCCCTTCAAATTTTTACATCTACCTTGGATTACTTAGCAGCACTTTTTATTGATTTCCCTCGGATGTACTTACCTAAATATCCTAACATTTTTAGATGGCGTGTGTTATGTTTTAAGTAATCTGTCTTATTGTATTTTATCTCCCTAGAAAAGTCAGAGGACCCCTCTACACTTCGTAGTATATGAAATTGGTGGAGATGATGATCTTTTGGACATGCTGTTAGAGAATGGAGCTAATGCAAATTTAGTTGACTATGTATGTTTTATTCTACCTTGAGCCTTGTTTTTTGACAGAAAAATTCCAGATGCTTGGGAATTTTGTTTTTCCCCAAGACCACCTCAAATTTGCTCATGTGTCATAAAAATGCCTCAGGTGAGGGTAAGACTTACAGTGAAACCGGGAAAACTGTGAACACCAAAAATATTTCTGGAATGTTATTGTCTTGCAAGAAAAAAGCCAATCAGGTGTGAGAAAACTAAACCGCATTGAGAAGCAAGAACGTTAATTACTTTGTGTTTTTGTGGCCAGTTTCCGTGTCCTGATCTTTGCTGTGATTAGTCGTAACACAATAAACGTTCCTGAGATATTTCAAGTGTTCACGGTTCACGGTCAGTAAGTAACGTTGACATCCCAGAAGCCATGATTAGCAACTGGAAGTTTATTATCTCACTTGAAGGAACGCTTCTGTCTCAAACAACCAATCTGAATACCTTTGTTTTAACACCTGTTGTATGAATTTGTTGAGTCAGAGCACTGAAAGAGGGAAAATATCAAGTTCCAGTTGCCATTTTTGATGTCAGGAACGTTAACGTTCTTGTTTCGTAAGGTCCCTGTTATGATTTGTAAGGTAAGAGATTGTGGATTCAATCAAATTTAAGGATCACAAACAGACTAAGAAAAAACTATGGCCCACCAATCACAGTCATCTCTGACTGTAACAAACTGAGACACTGCAGGGAGTAACCACTGACCATCCTTTCCTAATCTATCGTCGGGAATTTTTTCGCCTAATGGGTGCTGTCTCCCTTAGGGTTTCTCTTTACCTGGGTATATCTTTCCTGCTTTTCTCTTACATTTACTTTCAATGCAGTGGTTGAGATATTCGCAAACTGTTAAAAGTTGTTATGTCCCCTGTCTCTTGTCACTTCTAGTATTTTTGGCTCATTCAAGGTGGAAGAAGTGGATTTTTAGTTTGTCTATCAAGAATGCTATCTTTTGGTGTGTGTTGAATAAACTAAAGTAGTATTTGTTTTGCAGTTTGGCCACACGCCATTACATTTAGCTGCAGAGAAAAACAATCTCTCGGCTGTCAAGGCATTGGTTAGAAATCCTTACAGCCCCGCTGACTACAGCAAACAAAACAAAGTGAGTGTTTCCTTGTGATTGTTTTATTGTGTTGTCTAGACCAGCCTTCAAGTATTTACAAACTAATTATAACCAAAGGTTAGGGAGTGTACATGTAGGCAAAAACAGTGATCAGTTTGCGTTTTATGCTTGCTATTGCCATTCATTCTTAGTGAAGTCTATAAGAATACCGGCTACATACCTGCCACTCATGCGTAATAGCAACCTTGAGATTTTGATTGCGGGCTCCTCTGGTCGCCTGCAATTAGCTTACACTTCCAACAAAGTTTAGGGAGTGTCCATCGGACGAGGTAGAGCAAGTTTCACGTGATAGAATGTCCAAACACCCGTCCAAACGCTCCAACCACTGAGCTACTGGAGGTTCTATTGTGAGCAGGGTCGAAATTTAATTATTGCTACATCAGCCATAGAGGACTGTATCGAGGATAACGCTATCCAGTGGATAAATCTTCATCCATTTGAACAACCAAAGCCAGGAGAGTTCACCTACATTTGTCACACTGAGTAAGTTGGGATAATCGCGCTTAACTCTCAAAGAACGTGAAGACACTTTTTAAGGGACGTTTTCACTGCCGTAGCCTTTGTGGTATCGTTAACGCCCTCTTTTCACCAAGCACTTAACACGACACTACAACTATGGCTAAAAGCGATTATGGTGGCATTCAGATTTGGGTGCAAGTAGAGGTCGCTGAGTAGAAGTACAACTTTGGAACTTTCAACCTTATTGTTTGCCTAGTACACTTCTCTTTCTTGTTACTGATTAGCAGTTTATTTCAATGACACGAGACAATCAGTATGGATTATGTTTATTAAGGATTATGCGGGATGTATCCTAACGACACAACTATAACATAAAATGTTCTAAAGTGCCAAATTTCCTGGGTCTTTGGTGAAATGTATTTTCATTTTGACAAAGAACGATGAAACAGCCCAGCAAGTGGCAGAGAGACGTGGACATCATCATGTTAAGACTTACCTTCTTAGGTTGGCGGAAGGAGTGAGTGACGTCCAATCAGATGGCACTGATGTAGACATATCCGTCAATGGTAAGTCGTAGATTTCTTCTTAGGAACGGACCATAACAAAAAAGAAGGGGGAGGTGTGGGGAGTCAATTCGACCTTGCGTGTAAACTTTACTTGTTATATTTTGGTTTGCCTTGTGTACACCTTTTTACTTCTTCTCAGCTCGTATGTATTTCTTTTTCTGCCTTTTCCGGCTGTATGATTTTTTTTTCATGTGAATTTTTCATGTATGGATTTTTTTTAGTCCTCTCCCTTTACTTTTCCAATGGTCCAACCCCTCAAAGTTAATGGTCCATGGAAATACACCCCTCAAAACAGGAATCCTGGATACTAAGTGAACTAGACAAGAAAAACATGAGAATTAACGCGAGCGATACGCGCGCGAGGAAGGATGTTCTGGCTCGTCCATTGAGTTTCGTGCGCCTTAATTTCTCCTAGCCTGCAAAAACACCCGTTTCTCCTCGCTCTTCGCCGCTAAACGTCCCCACCGGCGAAGAGCGAGGAGAAACGGATATTTTTGCAGGCTAAATTTCTCCCTGTCCCTTGCCCCTTGAAACGCCTACCAAGCAGGCAATCTGGGAACAAGATAAGTTTTATCAAACAGTAATAATTTGTGAATTTATTTCACACCTTCTGCATAATTACGTATACATTGTATTTTACCTTTAGTAGGAGACGTTTGATGTGAGTGACTGCATTTTTTTGCGCAGGTTCCGTCTTGAGTGTAAATTTTCATGCTGATGACCGCAGGGTTAACCTCATGGTCGGCAACTATAATACAATGAATTTAAACAGTTAGTTAAGGTAAGGGAGTAGACATAAAATGACCCAGCAGCGTGCAAAGAAAGTCGGGTCCGATAGCCCAGGGCAAGTGGATTTTGCTATCGGGCTAGTGATTTTTGTTCTTAACTTACCCGACAGGCAGGTGCTGTTTTGGGGGGAAATTCAAATTACAGAAGGATTGTAATCAATCCTGCAAATCAAAATGGGTTTTGGCGCTAGTTGAAATGACTTGTGGGCTGGTACATGCTAGCTACAGCTTGCCCAAATGGCTGACTGTAAAACTGACTTTCTTTGCACCCTGCCCAGACCAAAGCTGTTTGCGTGACTATAATCACGTCGTTTGCGTAAGAAAAGGCCATTTCTGCGTTGCTCCAAGCCTCTGAGGCTAAGTGCGAAGCCATTGATCGTGAAATATATTTTTTATTCTCGTGCAAATAAAACTCATTTTCACAAGAAAATTTTACACTCGTTTTGAAAGTTAGAGTATTTTAGAACTCAAAAATGCACTATTACCCAGCGGGCAGCGCTTTGTTAGAGTCATGGAAATGTGTTTGAGTTTAATTCAAAACTTGTTTTCATATGTCGTGACCACGCTCCATGATATAGAACTGAAACAAGTTACACACTTACATTTGTTCGTTTCTCTATAGTTTTAGATATATTATTATATATATCTAGCCGGATTTTTTAAGACGTTACCTCCAAAGTAGCCATGATAACAACTAAGAGTGCAGGAATTGCTTTTTTCTCTTCTCCTCCTTTCTTCCTCCTCGCTCTTTCTTTTTCTCCTTTCTTTTTCTTTCGCATGAGTGATTTTCAAGCTTTGGCCCTTTTTAAGTCAAATCGCTGCAGATTTTGTCAGGTTCGTGTTCAAAAAATTCATATATTTCTCCGCCTCTTATTGGCCGAAATCCCCTAGCTAATTCTTCATATCCAGCTGGCGTCGACTAAGTTTAGAAGACGTTTGCAAAATTCCGTGATTAAATGGCATCAGTGGTAAAGGCTATCGCCAGAAAAAGGCACGGCAGCCGAGAAACCCTGGGCTCGAGCTTAAGTTAGTTCAGTAGTTCTGAAAGAAAAT